CTTATAGTCAAACTGAGCGTCTCAGAAATACGAACCCAACGACACCAAGATCAACCCAATCCGAGCCCAAATGAGTCCGAATCAAAGGTTCGAAGCGCTGTTGGGAGGTTCAAACCGCAATTTGAGTTACCAAACGGTCTCCGATTTTGACGAGCTTATACTCGAATCGAATGGCTCGACGAGACGAATCCAACGAGCCCAAGATCATTGAATTCCGACATCATTAAGGCCTTCAAATGACCAACGAACGGTGCATGATCAAAGGATTCGATATCGGCCGTCCATTCAAACCACTCTCTGTTTGCCCTTGATCTCGCGCCTATTTACGGGCTATGTCACTCCAGAAAAACTATAAATAGAGCCCTCATTCTACACCAAGGGGGCTCAAGTGAAGAGAGAGAAGAAGGAGAGGAGAAAGGGGAAAAGGAGATTCCTCACCTCCTCGACCACCGCCGGAGCTCTTCCTGCCGCCTGAAGACACCGGAACTCTGCCGGATTTTCGGGAGAACGCCAGAATTCTGCCCAACTTCCATGGGATGCTGAAATTCTTCCCAATTTACAAGAGAGTTTCCTCCTGACGCCGAAACTCCGCCCAAGTGAAGCCAGAGTTCTCCTCTGCCACCAACGACGTCGGACTTCTACCCGACGTCGGACCTTCACTCTTCGCCAAGTTTCTACCCGATGCCGGACTTCTACCGATTATCGGACTTCGCTGGACGTCTATGCGAAGATGCATTTCTTTTCATTGCTGGACTTCTACCTGATGCTGTCCTACTGATCTTCGTCGTCAGATTACAGTCCTTCTGACCTCCGTCGCCAGCCGACTACGGTCCTCCTGACTTACGTCGCCCGCCGACTACAGTCTTTTTGACATCCGTCGCCCGTTGAATACGGTCCTCCTGACTTATGTCGCTCACCGAATACATCCTTTCCGACCTCCGTCGCCCGCCGACTACAGTCCTCCTGACTTACGTCGCCCGCCGACTACAATCCTCTGTCACCAACTGACTATGGTCCTCCTGACCTACGTCGCACGCCAACTGCAGTCCTTCTAACAAAGCGAATACGTCGATAGTAGATCTTTGTATTTACATCATGTAATGTACTCCATAAGATGTACATCAAGCTAAGGCCTTCTCCCAAGGAAGGGTCTCATTTGTAATCGACTGCAAATACTAGTGGATTCGTTCAAACTGGGCTAGGCCCCGTGGTTTTTCCCCCTTTTACAGGGGTTTTCCACGTAAAAATCTTGGTGTCTCATAAATGCTAGACCCTCTCTCCTTATCTGCTTGCGTGCCAGATCTTCGTACAATGCTAAGACGTTAAATATAATATTTCTCTACCGCCGCGAATACTCCTGGACGCAACAATCCTTAATTAAGTGTTAATTATTTTATAAATATATTACACTTATTGAATTTGTTCTTAATTCTAGTATATACTACACATTTTTAAGATAGCTTTCTTAATGATTTGTAAAGCTATTATAAAGAAAATAATTTTTTAAAATTTTTATAAAAAATAACTTTTTAATGTAAAAAATATTTTGAAAGCAGCAAAAACATAGCTGTTAAATAGAAATTATGATTGCAGCCTGAAAAGTAAAGCAACAAAAAAGTTGTCCGGATCAAACAAAGCCTTAATACGATATGTATAAGTATATAACACTCCCTAAACCCTAATTTAAAAACTCTTGAAAACCTTATCCAAAAGCCATCTCTAACTGTTTGTCAAATTAGTTGCAACAGTTAGTTAACTAGCCATTCTTGTTATAGTTGGAACAAGTTGGGGCTCCATTCTAACACTTGTTATTACAGCAAGATCAGCTAAGCAACTATTTACACAAATTTATTTAATGTCATTAGCCTTCTCTATTAGCTCATGATTTAATTGATATAAAGATTTTAATCAAACTAATTATAGATATATGAGATGATCATCAGCTCATTTAACTCAAATTAAATGCTGATATATTACGCTTTGTTTGGGACGACTTTCTTACTGTTTCTTAAAACAGCTTTATAGTACAAACATTGTAATTTTTGTATTAAAAAGTTATTTTAAGAAGCAGTAAGAAAGTTGTCACAAACAAAACCTTAACCATAAATAAGACGGTGAAATACAATATGATTATCATTTATTTAGTTATTTGTACATTTTGATCTATCTTGTTGATAAGATATAATTATATATAAAGTGTGTTTAGAGGTGTACAATATATGATATTGCTAGCAAGTAAGTGATCAAGCTCTGATCGTAATTCGCTCTTCATTAGCATATTTGCTTACGTTTACTCACTCATGAGTACTTGACATAAGGGGACTCAGTCTTGATATTAAGGAGTTGAACTAAAAGACAGCAATTTACAGGGCCTATAAGAGCACGACTGGGGGTCATTATTGTTATATATTTTTTTTAAATTATTTTGATATAGTTTTTGTCGTAGCTTTCAAGTCCTTATAAATAAAGAGTGAATATATATATTTTGGATATTTTGACACTCTAAAGAGATAATTGAGCTAGCGATATATTTTATTGAAATTTTCTTCTTCTCTTTTCATGCTCATCAGATTTTATTAATTTTATTGAGAGGTAGTCTTTTGAGATTGCCCTCTATATCTTTACGAAAATATCAACTTTATAATTGTAAATATTTATAATGATAATTGTGCTAAACTTTTCTTGGACATATAAGCATTATACTAAAACTCTTTGACAAAAAAATGTAAGAAATTTAAAAAATAATAAAAAATAGACATTATTGAAAATATATGAATCTTTATAAATTACAAGAAGGCCTATCTTCAAAAAAAAATGTGTTAAATTCATTTATTTTTGTAAGTCTAATCAATTCATTGAGAGTTTATTGAAAATAAAAAATAAGAGTGGAATGTTTATTATACATTTTAATAAAAATAAAAAAAGAGTTTAATGACAAGTTTATAGCTAGAAAAAATTAAAATATTTCATAAGAAAATGCTAAAAAATTATAATTTCTTTTACACAAAACCCCCCATTAATCCATTGTATTTTATTCTTCATTAAAGTTCAGCGGTCTGAAGCTTCCTGTAGGCCTATGCCCTCAACGGCCCCCGGTTGGCCTACATATGGTTCCTGATAACGCCCGTAAATGGCAACGCAGCTAGCTACAGACTGAGTTCACCCTACGTTATTCCTATCCACAATAGCCCTGTAGCCTTCGCTGTAGCGGCCTTGCAGTTTTTTATTGGGTTGTTTTCCTCTCTGGTTTCGGCTCAACTTGAACCTCGTCTGTAGTCTGCAGTATCTTCCTTCTTCATCAAAGCAGGAGAGAGAGAGAGGGAGAGAGAGAAATCAGGTTCACCAATCAGCTCCATTGCGTTGCTTGGGAAAGGGAGCTGTTTTGTTCACAAGGGCACGCCTCGACTGAGCCGCTCTCGGACTGGCCGGTGCTTGCGTGGGTGACGCTCTAATTCCATTTCCAGGCCTGAGAGAGAAAAGGAATCGCCTTTGGTGATTTGCGCCATCTTATTTCATTGCTACTTCGGCTTTGGTGTGGTATCGCGGGCAAGGAGATAAAGCAGGCAGAGACAGAAGCAGAGCGCGCAAAAGCAGAGAGCAGGGACGAAGAAAGCAGAACTTCCTTTGATTTCTTCCTCGGAAGGTCTCCATTTAACTTGCTCGAAGGGCAAGAAAAGCTGTAAATTTGCTTCGGAGTAACAGAGGAGGAGAAAAGGGCGGGCACTTTTGCTCTGTTTCTGCACAAAGAAGAGGGCGGTGAGTGCTTGGGTTCAACAATGTTTACTCTTTAATAGCGTTCTTATATGTGGAGTTTGCTTCATTATTCGTTTACAAGGATCTTCTTGTTTGCCAAGTTATGAAAATCCGTGTTAATTCTGAATTGTTCAAAAATTTTGTTTTGTTTTTCTGATGCTTTGAACTTGTATTTTTGGACATCTTATTCCATTGTTGATGCTGAGGATTGAAATATATTAGTAATGAACAGTATGGTTGTGAAGTTATGATCTAAATAAGTTTCTTTCGTCATTTTTCTTCGAATAGGTACTCTTTAGTAGAAGTAAAAGAAGACAACGATGGAAACAGAGTTTAGAAAGAGGGGAGGTGAATGCCCTCAACTGCTTGATTTGATTTCAATTGAGGATTGGTTGAAGAGAGATGCAGGAGGAGGAGGAGGAGCAGGGAAGAGATTAGGAGCTTCAGAAGACAAGAAGTTAGAGCTGACGCTTGCTCCTCCCGGAGGAGATGGATGGCCAGTAGTTGCAGAGGAACTTGAAAGGCCACCTTCTAATCTCTCTTCGAGCTGCTTCTCAAAATTCCCCAAATCTTTTGACAAAAATACATTCGTTGGAGCCAAAGTGGGATTCTTGGGCTCAGCTGAGCTCAAATCAGAAGGTTTGAATGTATAAACTTTTGAATTTGGTATTTCATTCATCTATAACTTCATTTTATTCTCTTTGCTCTATTAGTGACAGGATTTCCTCAGGAGCAACTTGGGCCTTTCCAGCTGCAGGTCATAGCTGGCTTGGTTAAAGAATCATCATTAGAAGCAAATGGGGGGATGGAGCAGAGTCATGTGACAGGGATGCATCCTTCTTCTGAGAATGGAGTTCTGGTTAAGGGCAGCACTCAGATAAGGTATTATTAATTGCTTTGACATCATTCCATCAGTCAAAATGCCTTTGAAGAACTTTCGTTCTAAAATTTATTAGTTTCTGTTAATGATTTTCTTATTTTTCATCATAGTATTCCTGTACATTTATTTCCTCCATTACTTCTCAAGAAATTTATTACTGTACATTTTATCTTTATTGTGTTCATGTGGCTTGGAAGCATATTTAAAGTTTCCAATTTGAATATGGGTTTATGATAAAACTTATTGGGGTGCTCATTTATTTATGGGTTGTGTCTTCATGGATTTTAATTTCTCTTGTTGTTACTTGAATTTCTGATTTGGTTATCTCCGTGATCTTCAATTATAAGTGTTGCTTATGTTCTTTTCACATAAGATGAAATGAAATATTTTTCTTGTATTATGTGATATCAATTTAGAGCATGATTAAGGATTTTCTTTCTAGAATCTGTTGGGAGTAGTAAAAAAAAAATGATTTTGTCGTGATTGAGCTTAGGGCATCTCCAACCGAAAATCCCGTTTTTCACTCCAAAATGCAGTGAAACTAAAAAATGCCGTGATATATCTCCAATCGAACTCCATTTTCTGCGAAGGTAACCGTCTTTATCCTCTATCACGCCTTTCTTCGGCAAATCCAGTTGAGATAGAAAAATCGCGTAGGTGAACAGTGCAATGCTAATATTGGCTTCGCATTGTTCACCCTCCACCGATTAACGATTTTTTTGCCGTTCGAATGGTGCAAATCAGCTACCCCTTACGTTCGTTTGGAGTTCGGCTGGAGACGCCCTTACTATCTGTTAATTGTTGTAAGTGTTTTGGGTTTAGTTCAACATCATTTGGGTGAAACATGTGTTCAGCACATTATCCAAAAAAAAAAAAATTATACATAAAATGCTTGTTTTTTATGTTTTGTACCTAATAGCTTTTGTGAAACAATCAATCAATAAGCCATATTGAAGAGGAATTTACATGCAAACCACACAACTCTTATATACGTACATTCTTAACACCTAAACTTTCATATTTACTTATATAACATTTAAATCTTTAAATCACAAAGAGAATTACATCTTCTTTTGGTGGTTTCACAAATCTTGTTGATACTGTTGAAAGTAACTACACTATAAGGTCATCTTGAATTAAAGTCATGGAATACTTAATAGTTATCATGCTTGCATACTTCAGTTCTTTTTTTTGAACTTTTATCTATAGTTTGTAAATTTCAAGAGAGATTTTTGAATTTGTGAATGAATTTTCATCTTGGTTTCCCGTCTTAGCTTCCCATCTTAGATTGCAAATACCTCAACCATTATTCAGGTTGATCCAAGATTTTTTTGGACTACATGCATTGGAAATTTTCTGAAATCTTCTTCAACAGAGCAACCTCTGCTCCAGTTGTTGGGTGGCCTCCAATTCGTTCTTTTCGAAAGAATATTTCTATCACATCAAACAAACAATCAAATGAGTTCAAAAATGGGGCACAAGATAATGGATTGAAGGTCGAGACTTCGAAGAAGGGTTTGTTTGTCAAGATTAACATGGATGGTATCCCTATTGGAAGGAAAGTGGACCTTAATGCTTATGACAGCTATCAGAAGCTCTCCTCAGTAGTGGGAGAACTCTTCAGTGGCCTTCTTGCTGGTAAGCCACGAAGATTGCGATAACTACTGGATTCTTCTATTTTTTTTATATGGGATTTTTGGATCTGTAAACATTAAACAACAGATTTCTTAAGAGCATCTCCAACCGAACATCAAACATGCGTATGACGTTGTTCGGTCGCTCCAGCGGAACGCCAAATATTATGCTATTTGCTTGCACTGTTCACCAACGCAATTTTTCTTTCTCAACCGGATTTGCTGAAGAAACGCGCCAAGGAGGAGAAAGACGGTGACCTCCGCGGTAGCCTGCAAAATGGAGTTTGATTGGAGATAAATGAATCACAATATTTTTGAGTTTCACTGTATTTTGAAGTGAAAAATGAAATTTTCAGTTGGAGATGCTCTTAAGGAAATGCAGTAGCTTCATGAACTTTATTTAAAATAAAAAGAAGCAGACTAAAAGTTGAATTTTTCACTCAATCAAACATCCCTTATAAAAAGTCTGACCTGTTTGTCAGAATTGCAGTTGATACTTTTTAAACAAAGTCATCTTTTTTAATCTTCAATGTAGCTCAAAGGGACCCTACAGCTTCTGCTGCTGAGATCAGTGAAAATGAAAGAATGGCCTTCACGGGTCTGCTGGATGGAAGTGGTGAATATACTTTAGTATATGAAGACAATGAAGGAGACAGAATGATGGTTGGGGATGTTCCTTGGAAGTAAGATCTCTACCTATTTTTGGGAAACGTTAAAATTTTTATGTTCATTTGGAGAATAAAGAATTCAAATAAACTGAGTTGACATTATAAAAGTATAAGCTCAAACTATATTAGATGCTAAATTATATATATATTTTTAAATTTTTGCTAATTTAAGAGAATTTTCAATGCTTTTGAGAGCGAATTTGATGCGGATAAAAGTTTGAAATGCATGCCTTTTGAGATGCACATATTTGAAATACTTGCAACAAAAAAACCTTTAGGACATATCAAACCTTTCTCCCTCTCAACATGGTATTGGAGCATTGTTACTAAACTTGATTGCATCTGAATACTGGGGCCTTGAATGCCTTTTCAATCCATCCAAACACCCAACTCAACTCCCATGCTTACCCCATCCATTCCATACTCCTTGCTCAAGCTTCTCTACCTCACAATCTTATTGCAACTTGTTGGTACCCCTCCATTCCAAACCTTCGCTTGCATTCATTTCCCTCGATTTCGATGCCATTTAACCCACTGGTAACCTATCATTGGACTGGCTCAATCTCAATCTCTTGCCAATATCGCTTGCGTCTCGTCTATTGTCGCAGAAGGGTTGGATGAGCCTATAGCTTATAAGAGGGGAAGTTTTGTTGTGGAGGAAAGGAGTAGAAGATGGAGCAATGGTTCACCATAGTCTTAAGGGATCATTTATATCCTTCACCAAAGAGTAGAGCAACCACCAATTTTTTCTCATAAAATTTTTATAAGCAAAATATAATTTTTGTACTCGAAAGCTGCTTTAAAAAACATTAAAAAGTCGTTCCAAACAAAATCTAAGACACAAAATTTGTCCCTCAACATTTATATTTTCCTAAAAGAAAAAAAAATTAAAGAATTTCATCATCTATGTAACATTAAACACCACCACAACAACAACATCAAATTTTTATCTCACAATGTAGGGTTCTTCATTGTGCATGGTAAAAGTTAAATTCTCATTTAAATCTAATAAAAAATTATTTATATTATTCTCTAATCAAATTATCAGAAGACCGACATATTAAAACATTTTTTTTATAATTTTTCTATGCAGCATGTTTGTCTCTACTGCAAAAAGGTTGAGGGTGTTGAAGAACTCAGAGCTCTCTGCATTATTTGTAAGCTCTCAACTACTCTACACCTTGGACTTCTTTTATCGTTTTTTTTTATATTCATTGGCCGCTTAAACAAATGAGATGAATCTTAGCTTATCTTCTTCCTACTTTCTCCTCAGCTGGGAGCTGTCAACAGAAAGAGAGCAGCAGAGTCTTGAACTGATAAAAGAAAGTACTTCGGATTGTTATGTTTCTTCTCTAAATTCTCTGAAATGCAACAGTGTTTGTTAAGGGTCTTGTTCTCAACTTTGCCTGTAGAGAACAGTTATTTTCAGCAGCTAATCTCACATCTGAATGTCTTCTTTTTCCTGTATTTGTTTATGAGTCAGAGATCATCAGTGTGCTGTTCATGTACTGTTCTTTTTATTTGATGATCATCAATGTGTTATTATTGCAAGATAATGTCTGCAACACAAGGGAACTTTACATTAATTGAATTTCCTTCAATATTAACAAGATTCAAGGGGCAATAAGGGCCACTAAGCAAGATCAACATATACTTGCTCAGAGAATTGGTATCACCAACATGAGAAGATGTCATATTATCATTCTTATTACTATGCTAAGCAAGTGGACTTAGTGTATTCACTTTATCAATACTAAGGCTTCCTTTGGGATAGTTTTTTTATTATTTTATTTAGCAGTTCTTAATACAAAAGTATTTTTGAATTTGAAATTTTTGTAGTGAAAAGTTGCTTCATAAAGAAATAAGAAAATTGTCTCAAATGAAGTTTAAAATAATTCCATGAACATGAGCAAATTTATGTTTAAATGGGTATTTTATAACAAATTAACTATTTATTAATTATATTTATTTTAAAGTAAAAGCATTTTTAAATTTTATTTATTTAATTAAAGTTTAATGAAAATATGCTTTTAAAACTCACAAATGCTTAGTAGTTTGTATGAATGTCTATTATTAAGGATTTTTTCAGATAATTATAGAGTTTTGTAAAAGTGATTATGTTTATATTTGTGATAGTTTTTTTACTATTTTTAAAATATTTTTTAGCATAAAAGTTTTTTTACAATAAATTTTATACTGAAATATTGTTTTAAAAAGCAAGAAGAAATTTACCCCAAATAAAGTTTATGAAGTTGTGGGAAAAGTAATTTTTTGAACGCTATTGTTAATATTATAATCTCATGTTGATAATTTTAATTATAAAAAGTAGTTTTTTATTATTAAATTTTTAAATAAATTTATAATTGTCATCTGAAAATTGAAATAGTACTAAAGTTCATCAAATAGATCCTAAAAATTGGTATATTATTCTATTCCAATCAGACCCTAAAATAGCATGAGGCAAATGAAGGTAAATAGACTGACATATGATCTTCATTTAAGAGATTAAAGATCATACTACCCAACTAAAGTACACTTGTAATATATATATATGTTTTAAAGATTTTTTCTCTTATAAATTTCAAAATTTATACTCATATTTAAAAAAAAACCAAAATTTTGAAAGTATAGGTAAAAAATTATTCTGTGTGGATACCAGACAGCATCTAAAGATCAATCAGAGCGTGCCACATCATTTTTTTTAATCGGTGCCGGTGCTCGGTACCGGGTGGCATGGCGATTGGTCTCCATAACATCCGATGTCCGAACGAAATAATTTCTCCAGATACGGACCATTTATCATCGAGCAATGGACACCTAACTTTATCTTTGTGAAAGAAGACTTTATGGACATAACCTGTTTGGATCAAGCTACAGAAGTTACCTTTATGCTTTCACTTGTGCATGGTAGAGGCAATGGACTACAGAAATCCTGCAGGTACTGTTACTGGCAACATTGAGGAATGGACTCCATAAGAAGACCTCACATATAATTTTTGTTACAGCTCAAATTTTCTATCATTTCTTTATACTGAACATCATACAACTAAACTATAGGAAGGCCGGACTTTAGCTTGCAAATCAGAGATATTTTGGAATACTTGAAGAGTATTAGGCCTTAACAGATAAAATCTAAGATGAGGCATCGGATTTTTAACAGTTTTGAGACCATCCATCAAAGCCATCCAGCAATATGAGGAATATCATAAAACATGCCGTTTGTGCCAAACAAAAGAATGCCAATTTATAGCGGGGGTGAAATATTCTAGATAGAATTTATTGTCATTCTCATTACCATTCCCCCAAAAGATGCAAATCGAATTGTCTAAAATAATACCATTTAAAGTGCTAAGAAGATAGGCAAATTATTAGGTCTAACCGGACCTAAATTTTCGTCTGAATTCCGTGCGCTTTTGATATATTTTTTTTAAAAAGAGCAGCTAATACACAATTTTAATTACATTTTAGTTTCTTTTTTGTTAAGTATTTACAAAAGTATAGCAAAAGCGCAATAAAAGAGTAACAAATCTCTTACTCATTTAGTATTTGCTGTACTTTTGCTGTGTTTTTACTGCGCTTTTCAAATACTCAATAAAAGGGCAGTAAAAAGGCAGCTAATATGTAGTTAAAATTGAGTATAAGCTGCTCTTTTTCAAAAAAATACATCAAAAGTGCAGCAAAAGCACACTAAAAGGGCACAGAACCCGGACAACAATTTAGGTCCGGTGACCGGACTAAATAATTTTCCAAGAAGATCAGAGAACTGAGTAGACGGCAGATTTTCAGCCACTATCATTAAGAATAGTCGAAATTTTAGCATCATTATGGAAAAGTGCGCGGATTGGACTCAAATAGGAAATCTCCTCCAACTTCTTCCCATTCAACAAACTGTCCCAACTTTTATTGAACAAAAACACAACAAAGTTCCCGCTATTCTTCTTAAATTAAATTATACAAAAGGATCAGAGCAAAAAGTGTAATGAAAATACACCATAGGTAATGAGGCAAATACACTTAACCTGCCTTTTATGTCACACTTCGGTGACAGACGATTCCCAACTACAGTAAAGACTGGAGGATTTGCACGCTGGAATGACTTCTGGCCACAGCTTTATTACTGTTCCATACATTCTGGCTACCTCATGACTTGCTCTATTTAAAGATGAACCCTTCGCTTGGGACGGCTTTTTTATTGCTTTTTAAAACAGCTTTTTAGTTTAAAAATTATAATTTTTATACTAAAAAGCTGTTTTAACAAGCATTAAGAAAGCCGTCCCAAACAAAGCCAAAATGCTTGTTTCGTCCCAAGCTATTTTTAAATTAAAAGTCCCAAAAAAATGGAGGGAAGCAAAGGATGTGAGAGATCATAGAATGAAGAGGAAGCTAAGATGAATCCAGCTCAAGATACTGTGAGTGTGCGGCTGCAATGAGAGCAGCTCCAATACCAGAGCCATCGTTGGCATGCTTTATGATAACAGAAGAAGCAGCTTCTTTGCCGAGCATCTCCGCGAGAGTGCTCTCTAAGATTTTCCTGAATGTGGTGTAGTGTTCAAACAGTCCACCATCCAAAGCAACCACCGTTCTCTGCTTCTCTGTGGCAAGAACATCCCTTCCCTGCTTTTTAAGAATGCCAAAAATGCCAGCAGCTGATAAGCGGGCTCCACGTTTGGCGATGATGTCACAGAGTTTGACAATCATTTTCCTTGTTTTAAAGGAGGTATTTGAAATCTGGAACATTGAAACGATATTAACAATCTGAATCTATATTCACTCTTAGATGCAATTGAGGTTTCGTTTTGGATGGCTTTCTCATTGCTTCTTAAAGCAACTTTTTAGGCTAGAAAATTGCTTTAAGAAGTAATAAGAAAGCTGTCACAAACGAAGCTCTGAATAAGAAGAAATCATACCCCCAATATATCCTTCAACTTGCTCGCAACTACTCTGAGATCCGATGATGTATCTAGATGCATTGAAGACATGTGCGGTGTCCTGCAAGAACACAGTTCCACTTTATTTACCGATTCAAAGCGTGAAAAATGCGTATGGGGTATTAAGTCATAATACATATAGAGCAGCTGACATGAATGGGAATCGGAATATATTCATATTTGTTGGAAATTTAAGGAAATAGAAGGAAATAGATCTAAAGAATATTCAATGGTGCTTGAATATACAAAAAAACACATCAATATGCTGTAGCATGTTTAATGGCCAACCGAGAACAGAAACCAAGAGTGAAGCAGTCAACATAATTAAACCACATTGTAACATTGTAATGCAATCTAAGTTTCTATACCTTTTAGGAGAACACTTAGGCACGCAACTAAGAAACTTTCTTTCAATAACACAAACAATCACAAACAGAGAGTGATTTGATAGAAAACAAATGTTAGAGGAAATCATGTAGGAACGAAAGATACAAAGCACATAAACAATAATAACCCTGAGAACAACTACGGATGATCAACTCACATGCAATACACAAAACTAGGGAAATGTGCTAAAAGGAAAGATCTAATCAATAATCCACTAATGAAATTTGATCCGACACAAGTCTGCACTCCTCAGTCAAATAACAATAGAACAAGGTAACAACACCATCTCACAACTCACAATGTTTAGAGAAAAAAGATATATATGAAAGGGAAATCGTGGAGAGAAGAAGAAGAAAGAAGATCGAGAGGAAGTAATACGGGATATGAGAAAGACTAGCTCGCAAGCCACGAAGGAACACTCAGATTGAATTTTCTTACCAAAAAATGTTTCTTTACAATATAGTTTCAATCACTTTATATAGGAGGGAAAAAGAACATTTAATTGTTCAATTAAAAGAGCCATCATTCAACTAATAAAAACAATCCAAATCAACTGTCAAAGGAGAAGCTAAAACATTAAGCACAAGAATCAGCAAAGGGGAAAGCTGATCGGGCTAAGAGGGAGGGGAAGAATCCTAAGCAACCAAATTAGCAAAGGAAAAAACCGAACAACCAAAGGGAGAGGAGAAGAATCCAAAGCAGTTAAATCAGCAAAGGGGAAATTCGAACAACCAAAAAAGGAGGAAATGGGCCAAGTCCAATAACGGAAAAAACTAAATACCCAACCAGCCAACAAGGAGTAAGGAAGTAACTCGAGAGCACGAACCCAGCATGATTATTGCTTGTTTTCCATCATAGGGCAATACAAAAATAAAATACATAGTGTCCAATAATACGAAAAAATAAAAACACATAAAAGGTAAATTCTTGACTACATCACATTGGTAGTATTACAAACTTTAGAGAGCATACTCAAATAGAAGAGATGCTGAAGCATCTCTAAACATTCTTGATAACTATAAACCTTAGACCCCAACCAGGGTCCAACTAATGAATTCACATTTCTCAAGCGATTAAAGGGGATGCGCATCGATTTATCCATCTCTTGACTGGAGAAAAATTGAAGGAATTAAGGGTGTCTAGGGTTGGGCCATAGGGTCTCTTAATGGTTTCTTTTTAATTTCCAGCAAAGTGGTTTCACGACTTTTCAGGTTAAGGGAGGAGATCAAGACCAGTTGAAGAGCTTAGTTTAATGGAGACTTATATGCTGCAATTAATTAGGATGAATAGCTCCCAATAAAATAATCTATATATTATCTCCCAATAATTCAATAATTCAGATATTGAAGATAGTACTGATATTAATGATAGAAATGATTTTGATGATGATCTTGATATCGACACTGAGTTGCTACTGAGCCTACTATGCTGTGCAAAGACCCTTTCTTATTTTCCTTCGAAGAAAGCCATGTAAAGGTGGAGGAAAAAAAGAGATTTAATTTCAGTTGCCGGTGAGTAGTTGGATTTGTGGGAGATGAGACCCTCTGAACTTATTTTTGAATGTCTAAAATATCGAATATAATGTCATAACTTGATTAAAGCATGTTGCTCTCTACTCTCTACTCACCAACCATCATTTTCATGGCGGGTAGCTTCTTATATTTTTCTCTTTCACTAGAAATTATAATAAATGTGAAATCCTTAGCAAAATAAAACATGCACATCATTAATTCAATGGAAAAAATATGCTATACATAACGGGTTTTTTTATCTTCTTTTATTAAGATGGGGATGGTGGGCAGGGGTTGTTTGTGTTAGTTGCTCGTACAATCTAGTTTTCTTCCGATGCTGGTAATTTCAAGGTGCAAGTTAGAACCTCCACCCCTCAAAAATGATAGTGCCTTCACAACTAAGCAGACAACAAAATCTCTCAGCTCAGCCAAGCTTGTTTATGAGCTCTAGAGTGAAAAACTAATTTTCTGAAAAATATAAAGCAAACAAAATTGATTCAATGTGTTAGGATTAATCCGTTTTTCGATTAAGTTGTTCCGCAAGACATCCCATCAGTGTCCAATTCCTATAAATATGATGTATAGGATGATGTAAATGATAGCCTACGAATAAAGGAATAAAGTATTCCTATAAAGCTCTCTTCCTTTCCTGCCTCTCTCTCTCTCTTCCTCTCTTCCCATCTCTCTATCACTTTCCTTATAAGTTGAATGCACTAATCATTTTGCGATTCTGCTCCTTTTTAAATTATTTCTCAAATTTGTTTCTTACGCTAATTTTAACAAATGATACGCTCCTTAAAATTTGGCCAATATGAAACAAGCATATTATGAGAGAGAAAGTGAAGCATACCGTAGTATAAATGGAACCATAAGTTTTGGAGGAACAGTATCTCCAAAGAAAGAAGCTTCCTCTGCCAAACTCAAGAGGACTCTTCTTAGAATCTCTCCTAAATACATACCTGAAATCAGCTTCTCAAATATCTGGGAAATCCAAATAAGCACATTAGTTTATAACATGAGAAATGATGTGCTTTCAAGTACAATATCTCAAACTCCAAAATGCCACATGGCAACATAGGTAAAAAATTAATTGTCAACAAACCCCATAGAAATCACTATATGGGGCACGAAGCTGACTTATTTGGGGGGAATAACAGTATAATTAATTCATGTACCTAGTAACTTAGATGAGAACAAGAATCATACCTGTTCCCCCGGGTTCAAACTTTCAGTATCTAAGGACAGATCATATTCGGTCAAGGGAAGGTGAGATGATCGGAAATTTCCCCATTCCATGTTAATTACCTACAAAATAACAGTTCTTCAGTTGATGAATCACAAACTTCAAGCAATCAATTAGTCATCAGGCCTCATCCGAACTTAAGAGGATTGTTAGTTTATTACTCCAGTTAAACACTTATAGTCACTTCAAAAACTCAACTTTAGCGTCAGAAGAAAAAAATTAAATCTTCTTACCATCTCTCCTGATTTTGGTAACAGGCCATGCCACTTCGGAATAGCATGTGCACGCTCCACATATGCTGCATTTGTTCCAGTACCCAAAATAACAGCAGCAACAACATCGTTATCATAATACCGTCCCCCAGCTAGTGTCCCAACTGTATCGTTTACCTATGTTAAGATGATTGCCGTTAAAATTGCCATATGGCACCAAAGAAAAAATTTGTAGAAAGCTAAGGCAAAGAAGCTCACAAGTGCAGCAACACGCAAATCAAGACCTTGTCTTTCAATGGCTTTTGTCAACTCAGAGACAACATCTTCTCCAACCTAGTTTTTAATGCAACAAAAGTATAAGTAAACTATTATTAAAATTTAGACAACCCAGAGTATTCTATTAACTGACAATCTGCTTTATACAAGTAGAAACACAAAAGAAATAAGTATGGTTACTGCAAACCGGTATTTCCCTACTATCATCCATCCCTAAGAACTTTAAAAGTTGTAATATGATAGGTGAAACCAACAGTGTCAATTGTTACATGAATATATGTGCTGTAAGGTGCAGTAATCAAGCAAAATAACTCGTAACAAACTATCAGCAAAAGGAAATTATGCTATAGCACCAAAGAAAATCTTATACTAAATTCTCCAAGATATAAGAATATGATACTTTATATCCAACTAAAAGAAACGCAACTTTTTAGAAACAAATATAATGGATATGAAGAGTAGTAATGCATAAGGACTACGGGGCATGATTAAGGAAAGGAATGATAAGGGCGTTCATATTAAATCCAAACTCCCACGCAATTTCAGCCAAGTAGCAAAAGCATTTGTCAAATCTATCTAAGTTGACACGATGAGGTTTTCTCACCTTCATGGCCATTAGAGTTTGGAGGCTGACCATAAGTTGTATTTTTATATATTTTTTACTATATCACATCTTCTAGCTTCTCCAACAATCTCTTTCATCTTCTACATCATTACACAACGAAAAGTCCTCTTGTGTTTGGAAATCTCTCCAAACCCTAAGTGTTACTGATGTGAAACTATCATGTGATGATATGAGAATTGCACTTGAAATTAAATAAGATCTTGAACCAAGCGTGCACTTCTTCCCATAACCCTTCCCCACATCAAACTCATTTATATAATCCCTTGGTCAATCCCTCATCACCCTCTTCGACTCATACAAACCAAAAAACAATGTCACTGCTTCAATTTCAATTATCTCATAAATGCTTGTAAATGATTCAAGTTTATTACAGTGAACAAACATGATGAGCCCTTCCTGAAATCAACTCCTGAAAACAGCTTCAGAGGTGATATTGAACCTATGCCATCCATTATATGGAGAATGATGTTCTTCACATATTGTCTAAATTTATGTCCAGATCATTTTATTTACATTTTTACTGCAAGTTCAACCATAAGTGCTTGCAAGGTTTTCAGTATCATATTATCAACTTGTTATTTCATGTTTTACGTTTTTATGACTGGATAAACGTGGGACATAGTTTAAAGTATTGGATAACTCTGTGAATAGCTTCAATTTGATCAAAAAATTTTGATTAAGAGCATAGAAAGATCAATACCTAATCAATATCACAGCATAATAGCACTAAATCTATGGTTACAGCCCTAAATATATGGACACATACTCAGTAACATAATCAAAATTCCCTCTTCAGCCCTCCAATGCTCTCGTAAGATTAAAGCTAAAACTAGCATGTCATCCAAACATCTCCCCTTATCGTGGAAGAGAAAATATGCCAAGGCATTAATTGATAGTACAAAACCTTCCGAGGCCCATCAAATGTTTAATGAAAAAAGATAAAAAGGCATAATGTTAACTTGATGTTGAAAATACAAAAGTGCTAATGTACAAATAGCGCACATCATATCTATGATCAATACAAACCACAGGTTTTATTAGAAATTTATTGCTTTCAAACAAATTAAATGATGTTACCAAAAAGTAAAGCTCCTACTTACTAAGGATTTACTATAGTCTTTTCTGAAATTTAGCCAAAACTGTAACTTCAATAAAAAGATGACTTCTAATAGGGTAATAAGTATTAACCGTTTCCTCAATAGAGAAACCCTTTGTCCATTTGATCAGAGTTCCAGAAGCAAGCGAAGTCTGCCTCACTGGGAAAGAGAAAGTAAATCCAAGCTCTCTCTGCCTGCCTGCAGGAAGCTGATATTCTTCACTTTCAGAAGTAACAAACCTTGCTACCTCTGAAGCAATGAAATCAAATAATTCCTAAAACCAAAACAAATTAGACGAATCAGAAATGATGGCATAAATAAAATATGGAAAAATAAAACAACAGAAATACACCAGAGCTGCACATACAAAGGAGCTTCCAACCATCAAATGTGGAGGAATAGAGACCTCTTCAGCCTCCTGATTGATAACACCTCGCTCTTTTCCCCCCAACTGCACGCGTATTACACGGAAGTTTGTTCCTCCAAGGTCCAACGCATAAAACAAGCCTTTCTCGTCCCTATAAAAGATATAATTTATTATTTCTCTTTCTTACCTCTTAATACAAACGTTGCATCATAAGAAAATCATCATCAGCACAAAATAGAAATTAACCTCCACTACAAAAGATAGAATACGTCCCACCATATTACTAGGAAGAATACAAAAGTTTGTTTTTTTACATCTATGGTTCTCATTAGTTTTCAAATTTTATATCAAATGAGTATAACATGAAACATAAAGATAGCTCTAGATGTCTTTCAAGAGATTTGTAAATGAGGCAAAAAAAAAATCTCTAGAGCATATTGTTGTTAAGTTCTTCAGGCAAACTTCAACATACACATTCATGTTTGCCACTCAACAAGAAATTTAAAAGGAACGTACGAAAAGAATGATAGTGCAACAGCAAAACTGAAAATTGATGTTCAAAAAAGATTTTGTTAAGCAAAAGGGTTGAAGATCAATAATCGAAACAGCAAAACCTTAAAAAGGGAGAAGATAAACATTTTAACTTTTAGAGTTCGAAGGAACATGAGTAAGAACATAAAGAGAAACTTCAACGTAAAGGTATAAAAAAAATAAAATAATAAAAGAATAATAATCATGTCCATGTAATGTAACAATACAAACATTCAAAAAGGCCAAAAAGTCAATTTTTTTTACTTCAAAAATGATAAGAAACAATCGGCCGTGAAAGAGGAAATTAATGAGAATCTATACAATAAATGGCAGTGAATTCCAATCAACATGATCCTGAATTAACCAACCCAGAATCACTACCTCGGCAAAATACATCCAAGGAAAGGGGAACAAAAATCTAGTAACGCAAACAGGAATTTATACAGAACCGAAGCAAAACGAAATCGAATACTAAAGTTTAAGAAAAAAAATCTCTTTTTTAACGTAAATAGCAAGATTTTCTTATTAACGAAAATATCAAAGCAGTAACCGATTGCGTAATAAATTGAAGTCAATACTTCAAAATTTTGACTTAAAACACCTATTCAGCAAATTTTATCCAGAAGCAAGAAACAGCCAAACCCTAGCCGAACCTAACAAAACAAATTTTTTACAGAAATAAAAAGAGAAACCCAACCGTGAAAACGGATTAGCCCTTAAGACCAGTCGGATCATGAAGTAAAAAAAGGATTACCCCTTCGGAAGGCTATCGACGTAAGAGATGAGCATCTTCAGCTTGCTCCCACCTTCTGATGCAAGGCCAGCGTGCATCTCTACCATCATCGCATCGGCAACCTGCCGCAGCTTCCCGATCGGGGTTGCGCACTTCTCCTCGAAGTCATTTACGATCGCCTCCGCCCTAGCCCACCGCCCCGATTTCTTCATCCTGTGTTTCACGATAAGCGCTGCCACCGCACACGCCGTCGCCGCGCATATCACCGCCGATCCGATCACCACCTTCCTCATCTTTTGCGCGTCCTAACCTACTCTCTCTTTTTCTAATCTATAAAGAAAGTGACAACTTATCACTTGTTGAACGAAAAAAATACTGTAATGGCAAGATGAAATCCTATAAAGATCTGAAATTTTAGCTGGTCTTCCAAATTGCCATGGAGATCGCTCGACACTTATAAAGGAAAGGAGATGGAATCGAAGGCTGGAGAGGATGAAGAGACCCTCAACTCTTGCTCCCATATGCCATATGGCACAGTTCGGACCGGAAACGAACTAAACGACAGGAATTTGGGTAACGATTGATGCGGCTTTGACGAAATACCATAAATCCTCGCGGGAATCACCGTTCTTGTAGCCGATACAAACATATAATAGGAAAAAATACCAGTCAAATGATAATGATAAGATAAAAATAAAAGTAAATGAGTAAAAAAAAAAAACATTAATCCATTTCCATATTTGACATGCCGCCAAAAATAGATTTATTTGATCACAAATGTTGATATATATCTGATTAAATTAGATTTAGAGGACTTTAAATTTTGGTTTCAACAAATTTATAGATCGACGAATGAAACGTCCCGCTGAAACAAACTTATCGACACGAAAAGTGATCTAATCCAAACATAAATGAGCCAAAATGAGTATTTGAAGCTTAATTAAAAATATCGTGAAATTAGTTGGGCGGCTAATCTCCAAATTTGGCTTGCTTCTAGTTAAATTGAGCAATTTGACAATACGAATCTAACTAGACCAAAATCACATAATTCGAACATCATTAACCGGTAATCATTAAAACACTTAAATTGGAAAGAATAATTTATAATCATTGAAGTTAATACTAACACGACGATGGAGTATATGGATTTGGGTTATACTTATAAGACTTTTGCAGTGCTTATATGCTCTAAGAATCTTGGAACTCCACCAGAGAACAATCGTCAAACTATCATCCGACTATCATTGTTGGAATATCGCCTAACAAACACCATTAGAACCACAATCTTCAAAACATTGTATGACTAACACCGTTGGACCACCACTCAATTGTCATTGTTAGGATACCACTTGACAACCGCCGTAAGACCATCCCCTGATTACCACCATTGAACCACTGCTTAATGAATGTCGCTAAACCACCATCACCCACTACATTCCTTCTGATCATTGTTAACCGACTATTATCCTCAGACCACCACCTCCCGACTACGTTTAAATACTACCAGACTATTGTCCTCCATCCAGCATCCGCATTTGTCCAACTAGGTTCTTTTGATTGTCGTAGCTTGACTACGATCCTCGTATCACCCTAGCTCAATTAGAATCCTCAACCATCATTGTTCAACTATAGCCATCAATCATTATTGCCCAATTATGATCATTCAACCACAGTTGCCCGACTACAATATAATAGTATGTATTTAAACCAAAATAAATTAATTTTTTTTCGAAGACATTTTAAGCCAAATTTTAAATTTTCTTCACCATAAGATATATCTAATTGTATTTTAATTATAAAAATTTTTATGTAATTTTTTGGCATTTGTGCAAATTCTTTAAAAATTGACATCTGTTAGTACAAGTTGGATTTTTAAGATCGTTAGACGTCCGTTTTAAAAACTGATTTCACCAATATTTTCTAAATAAAATAAGCTAATTTATGGATTTTTTTTATAATTTTTAAAGCCCTAAAAAATTTATATGAATTTTATATTGATAATTGATTAAATTATCTAATTAAATAATATTATATTATTATTTTAATATAAATATCCCAAATCACTAACATAAAATCAAATTCCTTAAATCTTTTTAATTCCATTTGTTTGGTTGAATTAGAGAAATGAAAAACAAATTTGAGAGAAAAGAGAGGGGGAGAGAAAATAAAACCTAAGATTCAGAGATCGTAGAACAGCTTTTGATAGTCGATCATATCGAAAAATTTAATCATCTAGCTGTAAGAAACTTTTATTCTATATCTAATTTTAATAATTTTATATTTTTGATCAAATGTGTATTTCCTTTACAAAAAAAAATGAGAATAATTTTGTAATGGTAAAACTTTCATTGTATAACTTTTGGTATGTGATAGATCTCATTAATATGAGCATTTTGACAACAAAATATTTAATTTTTAATGATTAAATTGAAAGATAATATTTGCATGTAAGCAAAAAATGATGGTTGCTAACATTATAATGAATATGGGTTGACTCTTAAAATATAATACGCTACGTATGAGGGTGGGCTGTCAGGCTTTCCTATGAATAGAATGTTGGTGATATTATCCTTGTAGAGAGTGACGATTGACTGAATTACACGACGGGTAGAGAGTGACAATTTTTAATAATTATTGTAAACCACATGTGAAAATAAATAATTAATATAAATAAATGAAAGATAATATGAGATTGATAGATTATTGGCTGTGATAAATAACATATATAAGAAAAATATGACATTAAAGTTGTATGTCTAGTCTTAATTTTTATAATTATACTCATGATAATATTTACCTGATAGTACGTTCAACTCATTGATAGTATATTAAACTGATTGACAGATTGATAACTCAAATTTGCATTAATATTGATACAACATATCATAACATACTAATATGATTTATTGGGTGATAATATTCTTTATCGTATGCCTTTTGATTTCATTGAATATATTAATTTTATTATTAATTTTTAAAAAATTTATTGCTTATATAAAGTGATGATTGATATTGGCTAGAATTAAAACATACATATTTATTCTTTTGCCTTGCATTAAAAGTAGCGATAGAGTTTTGATTACTTGTTGACTGTTTAACTCATTATATATAGTTTAAATGATTCAGGTCAAGGAATGAGTTAGGATCGTGAGCAGTGATATTGATAAAGATTGTTAGGTTCTTTTTTAGGTTTTGCAATGCATTTTTTTTTTTTTGTAGTTAGGAGCTTGTGCCTTTGCTAACTTCATTGGAATGTGTAAATCAATTGTAATTGTATTTTCTTTTGAGAAAATTTGGATATACTTTTGTTGGATTCTAATTCTAAAATTGAACATGCAATTAGGAATGATATATCACCTCAAGAGGTGAATATAACGTCCCCTAATGGGTTCCGATTCAGGATTAAAAGATCTTATCTAAATTATTGCAATCAAAAGTTAAGGGAGAACGATATATGACCTCGATCGATTAAAATAATATTCAATCATGTATTGGGCTACGATAAACCAGATGTATTATCACCCAATGATTCTTCATATTAGTATGCTTGTTCCCGAACACTTTAAACTAAAAATACAACAAACAGAACAAATATCACTTATTCATAAACAAATTCATTCTATTGAAAGAGTACAACATAAAAAATGTAATTAATTTTTTATAAAATATGAATAATTTATTATAATAAAATATAAATTATGTGAAATATATAGATAAAAAAGAATTAATCAAGCTTCTTAACGAGTTTTATATTGAGCTTATTTATGAGCTTTAATTGATATTATTCATGAACTTAAATAAGCTGAATGCATAAGTGTTCAAGTATGTTTATTTAACAGTCGAGTGTTTCAAAATTGTTCAAACTTGTTTGATTACTTAAATAAATGATCATGAATATATGAGATGTAATAAAGCTAAGCCACAAGTAGTTTGTCGAACACTCAATTCATTGTAGCCCTACACCCAACTATGGTTCTCTGACCACCTTCATCTGATCATGGTCCGTAGACCACCATTGCTCGACCATAATCTTTTGACCATTGTAGACAGATTATTGTCCTCTGAGAATTGTCACCCAATTACAGTCTTTTCACTTATATTGTTAGACTATGATCATTTGACTATCATCACTCAATTACGATTCTCTAATCATCTTTGTTTGACTATGATCCTCCGATCTTCGTCGTTTGACTAGGATCCTCCAACCAACATTGCATGACTATAGACCTTCGACTTATAGTCTTCTGACTATTATCACCTAATTATACTAACGCATGTTGACTTTCTCCCCTATCATTTTTTATAATACCAATGTATGTTATTGCTTAGAAAATCGATGTGTCCCTTCAACACCAACTTTGACTCTCAATTTCAGCACCATAATTTATGATAGACTTTTTGATTTATATTATCCCCTAGTCATAGGAGTAATAGCAAATAAACGTATAAACGATCACTTAAAGATAGCTCCTATGCTCTAAACCCTAAACTTCCACCATTGTACTAACACTTTCTCCCGAAGAAACGTGTCATTTGTAACAATGACAAATAATAGCGAAATTATTCCAATTGGGCCATGCTTTGTTGTTTTTACCTTTTCATGAGTTTTTCATATAAAAATTCATGTATCTTTTGCAACTCTTCTGTTATCTGTGTGTATACTGAATCTTTGTATAATACTAAGAAAACAAACTCTTTGGTACTATTGCCATAAATATTCTAGCACGTAATAACATTTATAGAAAAATACATCAATTTATCTTAGGATTCATTTGGAACAATTTTTTTACTATTTTTAAAAAAATAAAATTTTTATTTTATTTCTAAAAATTTTTGTACTAAAAGCTGCTTTAAAAACTAATAATTTTTTTTTATATTTAAATTAAAATTAGTGTTATATATAATATTATGAATTACACTAATCTTAGCCCTGTCTTTATTGATTAATTAACATATATGTTTATATTATTAATTTTACAAATAAAAACCATAAAAAGCTTATATAAACATTAAAACTATATATATACATACGAAAATAATTAATATGATGTATAATTCATAATAAAATAATAAAATTTTATTATATAGTTAGTTATTTTTTATTTTAATTTGCAAGTATTTAAATGATATAAGACAACTTTAAATATTTTAAATTGCTTAATTTATGCTACATTAAAAATTATTTAATTATAACCAAAAGTTTTCTCTAAACCTATTATTGAAAAAAAAACATCAATGCCAAAATGTAAAAATCTCTAAAATTTCATTTAATGTTGTGAGTGATAACCTTCTAAAATTTCATCACATAATTATAAAAAATAAAAATGTTAAATAAAATATTAATGAAATGTATTTAAAGTACATATGTTTTTACAAGTTACAAAAAATAGGAAATATAAAATATTATTTTTTAATAATAATTTATTAAAAAAATCTCCTATCTACAATAGTATGATGTTATATATCCAAGCCATTAAATATGCTGAAATTTTCACTCAAAATTTTTAAATATCAAACATTTTATTTTGTATAGATCTTTGAATGTAAGAGAATAAGAGCATAAAAAAGGGAATATTTTAACTAAATTTTTCTAAAAAATATTTGAGCCA